AAAAATAGTAATGTTAAGCTTGGAAAAACAACACCTTTTTTATAAAATCAAGAAGTAACAGGTTTAAAACAATAACTCTATCTCCATGTGTTTCCAGGCTCTCTGTGTGGCTCCTCAAGAACCACAAATTCCCAAATTCCGGGTAGATACATAATCCCAGAGTCCCACCTCAAGCTCAGCCAGCATTGCCTCCCTCTGTGACACCTTCTCATAAATTCCAATCCATAGTCTAGGTATGTGTGATGATTTCAATGAGAATATTTCCCATAGGTTTCAGGTATTTGGACATTTTGTCCTCCATTGGTGGTGATGTTTTGGGAGATCTTAGAGGGTGTGGCCATGTTGGAGAAAGCACTGGGGGTGGGTTTCGGCTTAAAGAGTTCTTAAGCCTTGCTGGATCTCCAGTTGTGCTCTTGCTTCCTGTGCCTACTTGAAAATGTGAGAGCTTAGCTTCTGCTCCTCCAGCCACCTCTGCCACCCTGCCCCCTTGCCATGATGGACTCTTGTCCCTTTGGAACTGTAGGCTAAACTCTTCCTTGTATAAGTTCCCTTGGTCATGTTGTTTCTATCACAGGAACAGAAAAGTGACTAATATAGTATGCATCCCCAGAACCCTAATCCAAGATCAGAGTAACGTCTCCTTAGGATCATATGTGTAACTCCTTGTGAATACTGAACCCCAGTCTCCTGGTAGTTATGCAGCCCAAGAACTTTGTCCCAAACCCAGTCAGTGACCCCCTACTTTCTCATTGCTGCCTAGATCATGTGGGCAGCTCCATCAATCCCAGCCCCAAGGACCACTTGTAGAACTGGGTGAGCCTTCACAGATTTCTGAAGATTAAGCCTGCATAGAAGGCTTGCTCCTGGGCTAAAATGTACTCATATTGCCAGTGATGTGAGGAACACATCTGAACTCACATTTGCACATCAACACAGAGTTACCTTAAGATCCAACACCTAGCACCATTCAGCTTATCAACAGCATGACAAGCTGAGGTGACAGCAAACAAAGATACAAACACCTGCTCAACAAAAGTGAGACCAGCTATACATACCAAGAAACATCACCAATAAAAATACCAGATGCCTAGGTCCTATCTCAAACCAAACAAACAATACAAAGAAGTTACAGACTTGATTCACAGCCATTAGAAGAGTTCAGTATTTTATGCTGGAACAGAGGGATGGACAAGGAACTGATAAAGTATAACAAATGTCTATCCTTGAGGATAACCTATGCTTACTGTTCAAATTCAGATATATGCTACATATGTGTATAGATCTTAGGGAGTCTATTTAAAGAAAGAATTTAGGAATCTCTTTGGAGAATCACTTTTTTAAAGGAAAGATTTAGGAAGAAATTAATCCTTGTAACATATCTTCATTATTAAGACCAAGTTTCAAATTTGATTATTATGGGGATGAGAGATGTTCTGTGTGTTCAGTTTTCCTTCTTTCTTTTCCTTTTTTTTTTTTTTTTTTTTTTTTTTTGTCTTTTTGAGACAGGGTCTCCCTGTAGCCCCAGCTGGCCTGGAACTCACTACATAGACCAGGCTGGCCTTGAACTCACAGAGATCCACCTGCCTCTGCCTCCCAAGTGCTGGGACTGCAGGCCTGTGCCACCACACCTGGCTTTTCTTTTACTTTCTAATGGAAAATTCTTTGTTGTGGGAATGACTTGTCTTAAGCTTGCTTATAATGTAAACAAGCTCACTGAGCCATGTGCCTGTGCATGCTTTACATATCAAAACATCAAAGCAATGCAAATTGAAAATAAGAAATTTATAACATCTGTGTGTGTGTGTGTGTGTGTTGGTGTAGGACTTAGGATCAGAAAGGCCAAGATTCTCTAATTAGATAAGGGTAGGTCTGACTCTTACTTCCCCATTTCATACTGGAGACACTGTTTGAATAAAGAATAAGCAAAGTCCTTAAGTACTTGCTTGAGAGCACAGTTCTAAGAGAATTGTGAAGATTTTCAGCAGTTCTGGTATATTCTTGGTCTTAAAATGGATACTAAGAGTCAGGCTGTCTTTTTTATTTTATAGTCATAATGTGGCTTATAAACACCACATTTTGTGAGGTACTTTGGATTTAAAGTTAGATATTTTCCTGTTCCTTCTATTGAGGCTATGGAGTTAGTGTTGTGCTCAAAGGAATAGACAGACTGATATTTAAAAATAAGCAATTTTTCAATACTTTATTTTTTTTAATTTTAAGTGACATATTTCAATAAATTCGAATATTTGAAGTCCTTGATTTGTGCCAGGCTTTGTGGATACAGTGAAGAGCACATGTCTCTCTTGAGCATCTAGATTCACGGGGGAAGCTGATTTCAGAGTGGAAATCCAGTAGCTATAAAATCACAAGACTCTTTGTAAGATCACATAGGAGGGGAGGAATCTAACCTAATGGTAAGGAACATCTCAGAGTGGTGTGGTGGTTTGAATGAGAAGTGTCTCCTATAGGCTCAAGTATTTGAACAAGTGTTGGTGCCAGTTGGTGTCACTATTTGGTGAGGGTCATGAAACCTTTAGGAGGTGTGGCATAGATAGGAAAAGTCCATCACTAGGGCCAGGATTTGAGAGTACAGATTTGTCCCATTCCAGTTGCTCTCTCAGCTTCTGGTACATGCTTAAAGCTGTGAGTGCTCAGATTTCTTGCTACCTTCTGCCGTGCCTCTCCCACCACGATGGATTCTTAACCTTAAGCCAAAATAAAGTCTTATGCTTCAGTTATGGGATTTTTATCAGAGCAACAGAAAAGTAACTAGGGCAGAAGTTGGTACCAGAGAGTACATTATTTCTGTGAAGAACCTCCTCACTATGTTTTGGTTTTTTCTTTTGAGAGATTTGGAAGACTTTGGAACTTTGAGCTAAAAAGCAGTTGAATGCTGTACACAGAGCTTAATGGACCATTTTAGATGAGGCATGGCTCAAAATATTTCAGAGGGAGAAGGAAGCAAAGACCTAAACACCAACTGGGCTAGAGGCTATTCTTTTGATATTTTGAGAAAGAATCTGGCTGCTTTCTACCCAATGACTATGAACTTGCCTGAGGTTGAATTTAAAAGTAATGGACTAATTTCTTTGGTGGATGAAATTTTAAGACATACCTCCATTCTAACACTGAATCTGTGGCTTGGTTACTACTGACAAATTTTATGCAGGCTTACAATGAAAAAGAGAAAGTTGGGCAGAAAGAAATATTAAATGTATGGTTTGGAAAGGGCACTAGGAAGCTTAATGCTGCAGTCAAAGTGTGTGCTGGAAGGGAGGTTCTCATTGTTAAGGAGATTAGTGCCTCTAAGAAGAGGCCTTCTGATCTGCACTAGAATAATGGAAAGAGTTCCCTCAGGTCAAGGTTCCACACATCTAAGCCTCCAACTTGTGAAAGGAGTAAGCCTGATATGCTGTCAGAGGGGGCTGGGCTCCTTTGCAATCTAACTTGGCAGTGTTACCTTCATGGAATTAGGAGCCTGAAAGATGAAAAGTGAGGGGGTCATTAATTCTTCATCCACAGTTTTGGAGCCTCTGATGCCAGGCAGTATGCAGCAGGGGAGTCTCTGAATAAAGAAGGCCCTTGGCGGCTACTGTGTGAAGTTATGAAAGTGAAGGCTGAGTTGAAGTGAGACCCCAAGATGTTGGAGATGTCAGAGCCATGAGATATCTGCTAAGGAGAGAGAGAAGTACGTTGCAGGCAGCAAAGCTGGAGGGGCAGAGTCATCTAAGACCCTTGTGACTATGTCCAAAACACCCAGCATGGAACTATAGCATTTGGTGTTTGTCCTGCTAGTTTTAAGTTTTGTTTGGGTCCAGTATTTCTTCATTATGTCCCCATTTCTTCCTTTTGGAATGGGAATGTGTTGGAACCAGTAGCAGCTGAAGGTCTGAACTCGAAGAGATCCTGTAGACTGAGGGGGGAGAGAGTCACCCCTTCCACTCAATCGGTCAGCTTCAATTGCATGAGAGGAAGGGTCTGAGGAAGTCAGGAAGCAGCAGGAAGTTGTCATCTTAGTGGGGCAGGGGTGCATACACTATCAGTGGTGGCTCTCAAAAAGCTCAGCTAAGATTTAGGGGAAAGAGCCCATGAGTCTTTGTAAGTAACCCTCTTTTGGACATAAACTTTATACAAAACCCCAAATGGAATGCTTGGTGTCAGTTTTGTCCATCGGGCCTTAGGACAGCATAGGCCTGGAAGCCAAGACAGCACATGAGGGTCTCCCAGGAGAGAATTTGGTGTTACAGAATGTATATTCAGTCCCATTGTATGTTGGAAGTATGTAATTTCTTTTTTCATTTTACAGGAGGTTACAGTTAAGAGAGTGCCTTGAATTTCAGAAGAGACTTTGAACTTTGGAACAGTGTTGAGACTGTTAAAGATTATGGGTAATTTAAAAGTGGGAGTAAATGTATTTAGCATTATGATGTAGCCATGAGCCTATGAGGGCCAAGAAGTGGAATGTTAATAAGAAGTATCCCCCATTGGTTTAAGTGTTTGAACACCTTGTCAGTTGCTGGCATTGGTTGGGGAAGGTCATGGAACTTTCAGGAGGTGTGGCCTTGCTGGAGGAAGCCCATCACTGGGGAAGCTTTCAGAGTTTATGGCCTATTCTTCTTTCAGCTTTCTTTGTACGCTTCCTGAATGTGCTTGTTTCCCCCACCCTGATGGACTCTTGCCCTTTGGATCCATAAACCAAAATAAGCTTTTCCTTCGATAGGTTGCCTTGGTCATGGTATTTTATCACAACTACCAAAAATTAACTACTATAAGTGGGATTTAAGTCAATAGCTGAGAGATGTGAAGTGAATCAGTGGCATATGGAAAAGCATTACAGGACAAAAGAACATGTGCTGAGACCAAGGACAAGAATAGATGTACTGTACTTGAAGAATGGGAAGGAGTTAGTTCTGTGCAGACTATCAGGAGGAGAATCAGGGGAGGTGAATCTGCAGTGGTTGGCAGAGACTGGATTATAGATGGCTTTGTCATCCTTTCTTAAAGTGAGAGCATGAATGGAGCCCCCAACTACCACAAATTGTGTAGTCAAGTTTCTCACATTTGGGGAAATTGTGGGGTCAGTATATCCGAAGTGCAGTGGATGAGTCCCCCCCCCGAGAAAAATCACCTTCTTGATCACAGTATCTTCCTGCCAGTTAAGTATAACATAGCAAGTGTTTTAATTTTGTCCTAAGAGAAATCATAAAGGGGTTCTGAAAGGGGTAATATGATTAAAAGAAATATAGTTTTACTGAAATTTCACTTTGGCTGTTTCTTGGTGTATGATTACAAAGAGGCCAGAATGGGTATGAAGAGAGCACTTGAAAGGCCCAGAACAAGAGGCATTGGTGACTTTAAATTTCAGATTTTGGGTTCTAAGTGTCTATGGTCCCCTGGGGATCTTGACGACCCTTTAATGGGTTTGCAAAGTTGCTTCCATAATATTTCGCCCTTTAAATTGTTTTGATACTTTCACTGATGGTACAAAAGCCTTAGCTCTGCAAATTAGCTCTAATTGGGGCTGGGAAATAAACTGTACTTAAATTTTTTAAATACTTTTTTACTCTTCGAGAATTTCATACATGCATAAAATGGAATATGCTCATATCCACACCAACCCCCCCATTTCCCCCTCCAATCCTGCCTATATGCGTTCAAGCATGTCTCCCATGTTGTGTGACACTATTCCTGGGGAGACATGAACAAACATCTACTCACCCTAAATAGGGAACTGATAATAGACCAAAGTAAGAATACCATCAAAATCCAACTTGCTGAATTAGTGAATCTTATTGGCTTCCTTACAGGAATATGGGTGAGGGATTACTTACAGGAGCAGAGCTGGCTCAGACAGTTGCATCACCAAGACCCACTTCAGCCTGAGTGACATCCCAGGAAAGCTGGAAACCTGGAGCTCCCTGCATAAGTTGTAGGCAGGTTGGAGAGTGTCTCTTCAGGCAGCTCAGTTGGTCTGAGTCTCTTCAAGAGGGCTTGTCTGATCTCTTTTTCTTCCATGTGGCTTGGATGATCTGAACCTCTTCTAAGAAGCTCAGCTGGTTGACTGTCTCTCAGCATTTATACAGTTGGGGAAGAGTCAGCTAATGTATTTGATCAGTTTCAGGGATTTTCTGAAACTACTGAGTGACTTTCTTCCTGAGGTTAATGAGCTTCTCTGTAGGTGAATATTTTATCTCCCTTTAGAGTATCTTGACTCTTATGTAATTTCCTTGAGGATGGAATGTTTCACTTTCCTTTAGAGCACATGGAGTCTTAGTGGGCTTCCTTCCAAGATGGGACGCTTTGTCCCAGAGGACATTGCTTCACAGCACCCTACCCCAACTTCATGTCTTTGTCCTGTTTGTCTTCTTCCCATCCTCCTCCTCTTTCTCCTTTATTTTATTTTTTTTTGATAATTCATTAGGTCCAATTAATGCTACTCATATTTTCATGGGTGTGGAGTCATTCACTGGAACATCTCAACATATTCTCAATGAAAAACTCCAAAGTATCCTTAAGGATATTCTTTATGAAGCACGAATATTTATTAGTTTTAATGAATCTCATTTCTGAGCATATACCCTTTTCCCCCTCAATTAGATTGTGCCACTATTTATTTGTTAATTTAAAAAAAATATTTTAAATGGAATTTTTGTGCATTTCATACAACATATTTTAATCATATTTAGACCCCTCCCATCTGCTCCTGCCCCATAGACTGCCCACCAGATTTCATGCATTCTGTCGAATATGTTAAGGCCTATCAAGTCAAGTTTGTGTTCCCAGATGTCCCTTAGTCTGAGTTCCTCCACTGGAGCCTGAATCTATCTAATAAAATCAGGCCCTTATCTTTCACCCTGCACAAATGTCAGTTCCAAATGGATCAAAGACCTTAATGTGAATCCTAAAATTCTTAAACTATTAGAAGAAAACACAGGCATTACCCTAAATGATATAGGTGCAGATAAGGACTTCCTAAGTGGAATATCAGTTGCTCAGAAACTAAAGTTCAACAATCAAAAGTGAGACTTTATTGAATTTAAAAGCTTCTGTATAGCAAAGGAAACAACCAGGGAAGTAAGTGCAGAGGAAAACCAGAGTGTGAGAAAATCTGCACCAGTTACACATCTGACAAAGGATTAATATGCAGAATATACAAAGAACACACACACACACACACACACACACACACACACAACCCAACAATCAAGAAAACAAATGACCCAATTAAAAGGTGATCTGTGGACCTAAACAGAGTTCTCAAAAGAAGAAATAAAAATGACCAAGAAACACCTTTAAAAGTGTTCAACATCCTTAGTAATTAGGAAAATTCAAATCAAAACCACTTTAAGATTTCATCTTACCCCAGTCAGACTGGGTAAGATCAAGAGAACAAATGATATAAAATGCTGGTGTGAATTGGGGAAAGGGTACACTCATTCACTGCTGGTGGGATTACAAACTGGTGCAATCACTATGGAAAGCACTATGGAGAACTCTTAAAAAACTAAAAATAGCCAGGCGTGGTAGCACACGCCTTTAATCCCAGCACTTGGAGGCAGAGGCAGGTGGATCTCTGTGAGTTTGAGGTCTACATAATGAGTTCCAGGCCAGCTGTGGCTACAGGGAGACCCTGTCTCAAAAAGACAAAAAAATAAAAACAAAACAAACAGAAACCCACAAAATCAAAATAAATATACTAAAAATAAATCTACCACATGATCCAGTTATACCACTCCTTGGCATATGCCCAAAGGTCTCATCCTACCGTAGATATACCTGTACATCTATGTTTGTTGCATACACTTTTTTTTCTTTATAATTGTGTGTGGCAACGGTAAAAACAATTTGTTGAAGTAGGTCAAAGTCATTGCCATCCTTCCCAAACAGAAGCAAAGGTCAGTCAGGTGCTTAATGCAGCATCAGACAGGTGAGTGGAGTATGTGTGAGATGAGAGAGAGCGAGAGGTGAGTCCTTCTCCTGAGCTAGTTGGCTTCCCAGTTCTGCATGCTATGTGGTTACTAATGGCTCTTAACTGGGCTCACAGGAGGTTAGGAAAGTTGTTATGTGCCTCCCTTCCCAACTCCACAGACAGTAATGTCAAATTGGTAGCTTGAAATCAGACATGGTGCTTGTACTGACACCATAATAATTGTTAAACACTAAGATTTGGGCCATTTTAATAAAAAAATTAATCCTGGGCATCCAACATTTACCAGAATAACTGATCTTAGCCAGGTCTTTGAACACTTTGTTCCTCCCATATCCCCAAGGCAAATGATTGGCTGTCTCCAATAATCCCTATTTATTTAATAATACTTGTCTGAAGAGGGAAATAGAGAAATCACTGCCAGTATTAAAACATGAACTTCCAGCCTATAAGATGTGATTTATAAATGTTTACTATTGAATATTAAGTGAATAAAATTTGGATCAATACGAGGCTAAGAATGTATATTTAAATCATCACTGATGTAATTTTTCTTCTTTCTAACATGTATTTTGAATTATAGCACTTACATCATACTTGAGTTATTTATGTTTAACTGCCCAAACCCAGCCATTGAACCAAACAATAAAGTCACTGAGTTCCTTTATTTCTTACTTTCATGAAAATATATTTAGAAAATAAAGTAAAATTCTTCCTTTTTTTCTCCATAATACATTACTTTAAACAGTTCCAGTAACTGTCATACATCCATGGCAAAAGAAGATGCCGGGGGTGGGGGATTTGGGGAGAGCCTCCATTCAATTGTATCTTACAATACTTTGTGCTTTCCCTTAGCTAATAATTGGAATGAAACATGCATTCACTAATAATAAGTTTCCAGGCTTTCAGGGATTAATGAGAGAATCTGTGGATTGTCGTCACCTCGTCTCTGCTTTTCTTTATTCTTATTTTGGCCTCTAGCCATGGAATCTTTGTATTACTCATTAGAACCCACACTGCTGTGTGCCCAAAGGAAATAAAGGACTCCGGAACACAATGTTTTCTCTTCATATTTTTTCCAAAAAAGTGATGTAGCAGGAGGCCAAAACAATTAACTTAGGTGAAACTTGTTAATATTTTAGGTTCCAATTATCCATTTACCATAAAGTACACGAAAAAAATAGTGATGCTACGTCAACAAATATGTTTAAAATCTCTAAGAACTGTTTAAAATATCTAAGAACCTTATATATTTTTTCACCTCCAGGAAGGATCAAAGTGTTCTGAAAATAAGATATAATCTTTCTACAAAAAAGCCTTCAGCCCTCACGATATTAAAGCATATTTCCATAGCCGGTACTTTGTCATGATGAGTTCGTTTGAGCATGTTCCTTGGAAGATAAACAAATGTTGAGTTTCAGTTATAGTCAGGGCTTCCAAAAGAAATAAAGTGAATTGGTAATCCTTAGAGTCCTTGAATTTGCTCACTGTTAGCCAAAAGATTACTTAAGAGATTGCCTATATGCCTATGTGTACACAAACTCAAAATCTTGATCCTGTGCTGAGTGGAAAACAGAAAAAAGACAAAGATAGGACCACTGACCCCAACCTAGATGATACCAAGTATTATAGAGATATAGTTCCTGTGGTTCCTGTTCACAAGCGTGTGCTGAGAGACTGGCAAAGAGGCAGACAGCTAACTTGATATGGCTGTTCTTTTTGGCAATCAGAGCATAGGCGTCAGTTTCTGAAAGACTGCTCCTAACATAAGGCTGCAAGAATGGAAACAATTTGGGCACCGCTTTCCTAGATGAATGTCAGGCAATTTGATTCCGAAGACTTTTTTGTTGGTGTCGATGCAAAGTTTCTGGTTTGAGAATTCAACTCAGTTTCACTGCGGCTCAACTGATTTTGCCTTTTCACTAAGTGTGTATGTGTGTGGATGTGTGTATATTTCTCAGCAATTTCTCAGGATATAAAAAATTAACATTGCCACCCAAGAAGCATGTGGCATTCCATTTCATGTGCACTGACTTTATGATGTATCTGAGAAAAGTGGAGAAAGTGATGCTTTCGGCAGCGAGGAAAAATAGAGCTCTTCACACTCATTCTTGATTTTCAGATGTGAGTCGATACATCTGCACATGGGTCCCCAGCCTTTAATTTCTAGAGCAGCGCCATGCTGCTTCACTGAAATAAAGACACACTTCCCCTTTGACCGACTCGCAGTGCATAAG